TCTCTCCTCTTTCTAGGTTTAAATTTTCAATTACAATCTATTCAGAGCATCTCATCTGCATGAAGAAATGATCAATATACCCCAGCAATATTGCCTTCATTTGCCTATCGTTAGAGGAAAATTCCCGCCCCTTTCGGGAGGCGCAATCATTAATAACAGAAACCCGTTATTCTTTAACGACCGCATTATTTCGTTATTTTTCGGGTTAAGACCCGAAGTTTGCCGAATATCGTTTATTGCTACGAAAGCAGCCGAGGATGACTAATTACACGAGTTCAGAAAGAAGCTCAACTAGCGCATGCGTGCTTCAGTTGAAAGGGGTGAACACTTAATTACAAGCTTCCGCAGGTGAGTATCAGATTTCTGGTCATCATTTAAGGTGGATATCTTGACATTACAGGCGTGAGGATAAGTTATTATTATCGGATCTTGCTGCATTTAAATTGTGGAAAATATCACGCTCCTTGAAAATAGTAACAGCTAACGAAAGAATCTGAATTGCAGAAGAGCTTTTTCTTGTACGTTTTACTTTATCTTCCTGTAAAATTCAAACCGGATTTGTCCAAAATTTAATGATGTAGCTTCGAATTTCGTGGATGAAACTTAATCAGAATAACAAGCTTATCGTTACTTTTATAAATCATTCTTTCGCTTTTCATTAACTTACCTATTTAATAATTTGTATGTGCAAAGAGACAATTTTCGCAGATTATTTAGGCCTCTAAATATGTCGATCAGACATATCAATCAAGTAAATCGATCAGACAATTCTAATCATTAAACAGTCAAATTGCTCCTTTTTTTAAATCTATAAAGTAAATAATAATTTCAAAGTAACAGAATAGCAGATATTTTGTCATGGAAAGGCCGGTTCCTTGCTTCATTAATTTCACATAGGTCTTCATAATTTACAGTCTGTTTTATTACACAAATTTAAAATTATATATACTCAAAAGGTAAAATGCATTGTGTGAACGAAAAGAATGCTACCGAACATGAATAATTTTAATTAATTCTTTTAATAGATTCAAGAGCACCTGAAAATAAAACTTTACATTCTCCTGTAGAAGAGGTTAAAATATAGCTAATTTATTGGAGGACTGCTTAGCGGAACATCATTGCAAACATGTGTACATGCAGACGAGCAGGACATTGAGAAAATCCAAATGGAACTAGAAAAGTGTAAAATTCGTAATATATTCTTAAATAATCTGTATTTTAAAATCTGAACACATTTTAACATTCAGTTCACTTAGGATATTTTATTTTTTTCGAAGTCAGAGCGGCATCATCATCAACGCTTTAGTTTAAAAGTATTGATCTTCTTGATGTTCCAAATGATACAAAATTATGATCAATGGATGAAACTCTGTACAATAGCAGAGTGTAAATCTTAAAGATTGTAAACGTTTATTCCATTCAAATGGTTGTTTCTTATGATCAAAGCTATCAATCTGATAGAAGAACAGTTTTGGAAGATGTCTTAAAAGGTTCAAAAATAAGCACAAATTCATTGAAGTTATTTTTCTCTTGCTCCTGATTTAGATTTAAGATCACACATATTTCAACATTCTGAATCCGAATATAATAAATAAATGATTGGAACAATTCAGTTCCGGACACTTAGCCAACGAGACACTTAACCGACACCAGTTATCCGACAGGAACATTTATCCGACACCGACACTTAGCCGACACGGACACTTAGCCGAAGACATTTTGCCGATACAGACACAGGTACAAATACAGGTGATTTAGACAACACGGACAATTAGCCGACAAGGACACTTAGCCGAAGGACATTTAGCCGATACAGACACTTAGCCGACAGGTGATTTAGGCAACACGGACTGTTAGCCGACAAGGACACTTAGTCAACAGGACATTTAGCCGATACAGACACTTAGCCGACAGGTGAATTAGGCAATACGGACAGTTAGCCGACAAGGACATTTAGCCGATACAGACACTTAGCCGACAGGTGATTTAGACAATACGGACAGTTAGCCGACATGGACAGGACATTTATCCGACAGAACATTTAGCCGACAGGACATTTAGTCGACATAGAGAGTTAGCCATCAGGACATTTAGCTACGGGACATTTAACTGTCAAGGCATTTAGTCAACAGGATATTAGCCGATAGTGACGTTTAGCTAGTACGTACCCAATAATTATTTAAACTTAGTATTAATTACAAAATTTCTCGACTACTCCATAAGTTCAATATTTAAGTAATTTCTTTCACCTATCAGTAAAATTCATTATTCGATTCTTAAAGATCCCATATGTACTTTTAATTCTTGTGTAATTTAGCATAGTTTGATATATATCGCGTATATTCCTTGTATATTGGCCAAACTGTAAAAGTGTTGAAATTTCTCGTCATGGAATATGAATTATTTTTCAAAATGAAAAAAGAACTTTTTTTAGCTAACTACGACGGTCACTTAATTACATTTTAATATGGGATCTGTAAAATTTGTCCGTAAAGCTTCTTCATTTAATCAAGTGAGTTCCTTTGAACACATTCATATCATTAATATTTTTTCTTGTTTACTTAATGATATTAATTTTCCAATCTCGCTCTTGTCATGCTTTCAAATTTCTAATAGCTTCGGTATTCAGATTTGGAACATTCTTCTCATTTCTAGCAACGCATTTATATAGGTATAGCTTAAAAAAGCAATTTTCATTAGAAGAAACTGTTATAGATTAAGTAAAACAGCCACTCTATTTCTGTTAGGCAAATGACATCCTTTCCACTTGCTAACAAAGAAGCTTCCATTACCCTTCTAGGACAAACTGTTTGCAATAAACTGATAGAGTGCATTGGGGTACACTGCACCAGCTAAGACATACCTTAGAGGGAGGGAAGAAAACAACATTGCAGTCTCGTTGCAGTTCGGCGTTTCGCGCGGTTGTGGTCGTTTGAATGAAAAGTTGTCTCGGGCATTTTGGCCTTTAGAGAACTTACGAATATTTTATTCTTTGCTTACTGTACCCTTAAAATGATCTGATTTGTTATGTAGAAAGCCCTGCTTCACCTAATCCATTTATCAGATATATATAAACCATTATTTATTGAGTACCACATACAAAGAGGAACTGCAAGATGATACAAAATATTTTTCTGTACAGCCTTCTGAATATTTTGGACTTGGAGTTACTATGAAATATGGAAATAGTAAACAAATGAAGTTGTTTAACATACTGATTAATACACTTGAGCATATATGTATTACTGAGGATAGTTTTGATGGAGCTGAGTCCAATTTTCTTAAATAAATAAGATTACCGGGGTGAACGCTGGTGAAGTTAGTTGTACAGCTTGACATCGAAGTTACGTCCTCTTATTAGATCATTTATGCAGAAAATATATAAATTTATAAGAAATATAAATTCAGTTTTTACAAGTCTCCACTTATTTTATTTTGTCATAATTTCATTTTGTTAATATTGCTCTCTTTAATTCGTTCCTCAGATGGATTTCCTAAATTTGCATGTATATCAGTCTCGTGAATGACGTCATTCTTCTCGGAGATATATGCCCGGAACATAACTTCTTTTCTTTCAACCAAACACAAGAGCTTCCACGTCAAATACTAAAGTTCATACAAGGTACACTTTGGTAAAATCAGACTAAGCTCTAATGAAACAGTTATAAACCATAAATGGTAGATTATTTGTGCTAATTATTGCATTGAAATGTTTCATTTGTTCCTTATTAAATTGCACAAAATCATTTTCCTCAAGCATTGGGGAATATTAGAATAAAATGTTATATTTTATTACACAGTCTATTACAATACTTGATATCAAATATTTCTTGCAGTCTTTATATTATAACATAAAATTTCCTCACTCCGTATCCTTTAAAATCTTCTGATTTTAGTCCACTGCGTAAGATTTATCCACAAATAACCCCAAAGAGACGGATTCTAAGAAAAAGACGAAAGTAAGAGTCATAAGCGAACAAGAAAAATGCTCTAATGAGGCATTTTTTCTCAAATCACTGTTCTGTAAGAATTCTTTTGTCAGATAAGATGATAAATACTTCCATCGAGGGAAAAAAGCAACACGGATTACAACTCAGGAAAGCTTTTCGCGGGTGTTGGATGTATGACTTGTTATTTTTTTCCCTCCATTTTCAGCAAACATCCCAGCTCTTTTCTTACTTCCAACATTTCAAGTTAGAAGCGAGGTACATGTTCCTCTTTAGGAACCACGTTCTAATAGCAACAGTGGAGAGTTAGTTGGAAGAAGAAAACGGAAAAAAAAAAAACACTGTACAGAAGCTCTTACAGAGATTAAAGAAGTTTTTATTTTTTGCTGAAGCTCACCATCAATATGATTATTTTGGGCTGAATATACAGAAATTAATACTTCACTGAATTCATATTATTAAAGAAAGATAAATCCGAACAAAGAATATTCCTTAATTTAGGCGAACAGTCACGTTATATTTTATTTTTATTTAACTCATTATTTCGTATGTTGAATCTTTTCTGCACTTCTGCATTTTCATTTACTCCAACAGAAATTGCAATTTAAGCGAGTTTAAATAAAAAGAATTTAAATGTAGAGGGGTAAATTGACAATTATATTCGGATCACCGTAATTCTGATTCAGCCTGCAGGAATTCTGTACTGATTGGTAGTGAGTTAGCGTTTATTTGTAACGCATTTATGATCCAGGAAACATGCATTGTTATAGGCGTCATGTTCGCAGGCTTCATAGTTTCATTTGTAAATAATTGAATCATAATTATATTCTCTGGCTGTTAGTAGCAGACTTTCAGTTTCTGTTTATTAATTCAATCCCGTAATTTTAAACTGAACTACGAATGCGCAATGTGGTTACTTAGGTCAGAATCATTTCACAAAAGTGAAAAACTACCAAAGGCTCAAATAGACGTCTTCGACATTGTATTTCTAATGTAAATTTGCAGAGACATTAAGTATAGTTTGAAAGCAGGAGAGAGAAGAAACATGAGCAATGCCTTCGCCAGGACTCGAACCAAGGACCTCTCGAATTCGAGTCGAGCCTGCTGACAACTACACTAGGAAGGCATACTAAGAAGGCGGGAGAAACACCTTATAAACTAAGCCAAGTCGCTAAGGCAATAAAAGACTGAAAATTATTCTGCAACATGTACTTTGTCATTTTTGTGAAAATTAAAGTTGCCCAATAACATGAATTTTGGGAAACCCATTCAATATGGCTGCAAGATACAAACAATTAATATTAACATTCTATAAAATATACGGAAATAGAAGATACTAAAATTCAATAGTCTTCACGCAATTCACCTACAGTGCGTCGTTGAAAATAAAAACGGCTTGGTTAATAAAATAGCAACAGAATAATAATACAGAAACTGTATATAAAAATAATTTTAGCATAGAAAATAAGTTTCTAATGTTAGCTACTATCCTGTTTTATTCCCCTTCTTAAGGTTTCAAATAACGCGATCATGTCATAATAAAATAAGAGATTAAATTTAGTAGTTAATACGTCTGTTTTTTTTTTTTTTTTTTTTTTTTTTTTTTTTTTCAGAGAACGTTTAATGTAATAATTTGGAATTTTATTCTTTATTAATGAATTAATTAAAAGCCAGAGCTCTTCTTAAAGGTACTTAAGTACAATAAGTACAAATATTTTTGATTCTAAGTAGTTAATCGATTACTAATCGAATGTCGTTATTCGATACTTTTTCGGAATATTAGAATTCCAGTGAATATAATTTTAAACTATGATAAAATTAAAATCTATTCTTCTGTCATAGTTTAATTATTTTGTAAAAACCATGTAAATCTAAATAATGTATTTTATTAAATAATACATTTCATTATGATACCATTACATGCCGAACAAGTGCTAATTTAGAAGTCAAAACAACAAAAATTAGCGTTATATTTTCAAATTTTCAAAGGACTAGTTTCGATGGTTTTACCAAACCATCCGCCTCAGTTGCAAAAGCGCAAATGAAAGAGATACGATATAGTGATTGAATGAGAAAAGATAAAAAAAATGGACAAACGTCAAGCTACTGGCCCCATCTGTTGATGAAACCAGAGCTAAAACATAATTTCTTTAAAGGCTGAAGGCAAAGATAGATTGGAATTAGGCTCCAATCCATCTTAAGAATGAATTAGATGGATTGGAATTCCAATACATTTTTGCCTTCAGCCTTTAAAGAAATTATGTTTTAGTTCCGGTTTCATCAACAGATGGTGCCAGTAGCTTGCCGTTCTTTCTTATCTTTTCTCATCTAATCACTATATCTTATCTCGTTCATTTGCGCTTTTGCAGCTGAGGATGATGGTTAGGAAAAACCATCGAAACTAGTCCTGTGAAAATCATAAAATATAACCCTGATTTTCTAAATTAATACATATCATTTTAATTTGAGTGTAATTAGTTTCATTAAATATCAAGCTAGAAAGACAAATATTGTGTTCCATTTTTCTTAAAATTATTTATAGCAATTATATATGTGTATATGATATAATTGAGGTTTCAGATATATACCTAAATATATCTGCAAAGTAATTTTTGTTAATCTAATTAGAACTCCAAAAATCTCTTAATCAAGTTAAATGCCTATTAAATAGTTAACTCTCTTAATACCTAGCTCAAATAGCTCAAAATGCTTTATTTGTTACGCACAGTCACTTTATCTAAATTTAAAGTTAAAATGTTACTTAAAATTTCCAGGATACTATAATCTTTTATTTGAAAAGTAATTTTGCATAAACTATATATGATTTTTATAATGTAACTGTGTAATGTTTATTATGAAAGTCAATACGGCGTTTTAAAAAGTCTTAGTCCTAACCAGTCAATAACCAGACAATTTTACATGAATAATACTTTATTTGATTTGTTTATAACATTAAAAAACCTTATGCAACATCTAAAAGCATTTATGTTATTAAGGAAGTATCACAATCAACAAATTATTATTGAAATAATTATTAAACATGGAAAATAAATAAAGTTAATGTGAAGGAATTGAAGGAATTAAAAAATACCAAAAAGTTTTTTTATAATGGAAAGCTTTTATTATTATTTGATAGTCTTTTGTTTCTGGTCTTTTGGTTTAGAAAAATTTTCGAATTTTTAATTCATTAATTTAAAAGAGATTAGTATTAAAATTTAACGTTAAGAAAATATAAAATTTTCATAAAATTCCAAATTTCCAAATATAATTCATACACAAATATTCATGCAGAATACAAGTACTAGATTGAGTATTTCAATTAATTCCTAAGTCTCCCAGCTGAAATAATTATCAGCTGCTATAAAAGAGATTAAAGAGAAATATATGTCATTTATGAATTTAAATAATATCTATTCAATTTATTACTTTGTATATTTTGATGCCATGAATAGAAACGAGAATTTTGGAATTCTTTAGTAAGTATGATTTTGAAGTCTACAATATTTCTACTTATTTGTAAGCGTGTAAGCGTGTAAGCGTGTAAGCAGCAGCAGCAGCAGCACCAGCACCAACAACACCAACAACCATAATCATAATAATAATAATAATAATATAATAATAATAATAATAATAATAATAATAATATATTCAAAGCATTTCGCATAAACTTTATTTCTGAAATTATTTGTATCATAAACGGACAAAGACAGAAGCTTTAATAATGATAGTAATAGCGAAGCAAGATGGTTTGCCTTGGCTTTTAATATTACCAGGCATTTATAAAGTACTTTTAATGAATATTTAAATTTATGCTTCTGATATTTCCAAAAGGGTGTGAGAAAAGTTTCCCATCTAGTTAATAAAGAGAGACATTAATTAACAAACAATGCATTAATTGATTTAAATTCCTAGTTTATTACTTTTGGGGTCATCAGTAAACGAGCTGATAAATAAAAATATAACGGGAATCGAAAGGGAGATAAAGGTTCATGCCAGTGAAAAGCAATCATAGAAACAGAAAATTATCATCAATGGATCATACCTGCATGGAACTGGTAAAATGTAAATGTGGTTTCGGAAGATAACGTTAACGTGCTTTGTTATAGCATAAATGAAATGTAATTCATTTGAAATATAAGGAATGGTTTAAATGTATGTATTGCAAATATATTAATGATATGTTACATGTAAAATATCTATTTCATGGTCACAGTTACAGGCGAAAGAAGCAGTACAATCGCTGGTCTGTTCTCTTAATTATTACATTATTGTTGTTATTATAATTACCTATGTTACCAGTGTGAACCAAAGAAGTCTAAGATTGAAAAGGTTAGGTTAAGTTAGGTTATGTTATTTAATTTCAGCAAAGCCTCGAGGGCTATCTGCCTAAGGGGAGGGATGCCTTCGTGGAGGACTTTCTAAGGAAAATTGGCTCGTATACACTTTACACATGGGGAAAACCACGAAAACACCCATGCAGCCAGCCCGTTCGCGGGATTCGAACGTCGGACCGAAGTGCCAGTGTTCAGCGACTTTACCGCTCGGCCGCTGGTGGGCCTCTAAGATTGAAAAGAACATGAAAGATTGGTCAGATTAAATTATTGCATTTATTCTTGTGTGCTTTGTTGGAGTGAGCGGTTAACATGTCCAGCACGGAAATGGAAGCTTGTTTGCTGGAATATCGGCAAAAAAACTGTTGATTTCCTGTTCTCTGCCCTCAGTCATATAACAATTCTTTCAACTTCTTTTGAACTAAGATGTGGCAGATAATCATCTGTCAGCATCTGGATTTACTCGATTGTACATTTCCTCAGCAGCACTTTAAATGAGCAAATTGTATGAGGAATTGACTCATGCATGCTCTCGTGGTGTAAATGGTAAGCCCGTCAAATTAGCAATTGCAAAAGTTGAACATCTGATTTCGGTAAAAGAGTGTTTCTATCCCTAACGGTCTGTATATTTTTGCATAGTAAGTACATGCATGATATTGTTACCCTGTAAACAGGTAATATCAGTTATGTACAATTTAGTTTATAAACTAAGTTATAATGAAAGTGTTATATGTCTATAAAACTTTCATTATAACTTAGTTTTCATTGTATCAAATGCAAAAAAATATCTTTTATACTTTGCGAAATGTATGTGACCTTTCAAATTTCATTTAAAATTTTCTTAAATATTTGCTTAGTGTAACTTATTTCAGAAATTTTTTATGCGTGTTATCAAATTTCTTTTCCGTATGACATTAAAGTGATTGATGTAGCGAGATAAAAACTTTATTTTTATAGCACGGAATAGATTTATTTAACGCAAATTTAAAAAATATTTGTAGTTTTAGCATCATTTATAAATGCTGATTTAAAGAATACATCTGTACCTGCAATTACAGTCTTGTGTCCAAGAGGGACGCAGTCTCTATCGACGGAAAACCCGAGGAAATCGGCTATCTAACGATCACTTCCTCCGTTGTTAGAATGACAGGAGGCGAGTGACGAATGGATCTTGTTTCCTCCGAGACAAGACTCGTATTTTCTCTTTTCTCTGAAGGATTACTCGGCTTTGTTGCCAGATGATGCCTCGAAGGAGAGGCGGACACTTAATCTTTTTCAGCCCATGTAGAAATTCGCCCTCTGGTTATAATTTAATTCCTTCCTGTAGTTTAAAAGTAAAAATTTTTAAACACGCCTTTCTACTTGATTGTAATACATTTGGCTGTCTTCTCCAAGCTTTTAATCTATTAAAACGAAGGATTTATTTCTTTGTTTATAATGCACATAGCAATTTCTACAGAATTTGAAAGGAGGAAATGTTTACCAGATTTATTATAACGTATTCAAATTTTACTAATAAAAATGGCTTACGATAAAATGTCTAAACTGCAGAGCATTTGAGACTTTTGGAAATAGAACGAAATTGTTTGATGTATAAATATAAACTTTGTTCATTTTACTCAATTTTGTGAGAACACTACGAAAGCTGTATTACTGAATTAAAGAGAAAACATCTCCCTCCTTACCGGGGACCTGTGTGTAACTGGCACCTTGTAAGGAGCGATAACATCTTCTACTAACATCGGGAGTTTTGATGTTTTAAACCCTTCGAAGGCATCGAAAATGTTTCACGTCT